GTTCAATATCGGATCAGCAACATTCTCATGGTCATCAAAGAAGCAGTCTACGTCACTCTATCAAGTTGCGAAGCAAAATACATAGCATCATTGATATGTGCGTGTCAAGCAATATGGCTCAAGAGTCTGATGAAGGAATTGCAACACCAATAAGAAACACCGATAGAGATTCTCATTGACAACAAGTCAGCTATTGCACTTGCCAAAAATCCGGTAGCACATGGACGAAGCAAAAGAGATTCTCATTGACAACAAGTCAGCTATTGCACTTGCCAAAAATCCGGTAGCACATGGACGAAGCAAACACATAGAGACAATGCCAAAAATCCGGTAGCACATGGACGAAGCAAACACATAGAGACAAGATATCATTTCATCCGACATCATGTTAAAAAGAAGACTGTGATGCTGACATATTGCAAGTCTGAAGATCAAATCGCTGACATCTTCACCAAGCCACTTAAGACAAAAACATTTTTGAAGCTTAAGAAGAAGCTTGGACTTGTGTGAAATGAAAGCTGGTGTTGAGGGGGTGTTGAAGATCAACACCAGCCCATTTCAAAGCCCAATCTATTTTCAGCTCAAGGAAAATAAAAGCCCAAATCCATTTCATCTAAGCCCAAGACAATGGAAGCTTCTCAACAAATATGGAAGAAAAATACTTTTAAGAGAAAATTTTAGAAGGATGTAGAAAGAAAATCTTTTAGGAGAAGTGTGTAGAATGTGGTAATAATGTATGGCTAGGGTTGATTCTTCCACATACTTCCTAGCCCTCTTAAACAACTATAAATAGGGATCTTGAACTCTCATTTGGGCAAGCAAGCAAGAAGTGAGATTGAGAGTTTGAGTGTGTAGTGTAGCCTTGAGTGAGTGTCCACCAAAATAAAGGAGTTGCGTGGAAGTTAGGTGATTTTGTAAGAACAAGTGTTGTATTCTCTAGTGTTCTATCAATAAAAGTTTCCTTTGTGTAGAGTGTTGTATTTTGTAAGAACAAGTGTTGTATTCTCTAGTGTTCTATCAATAAAAGTTTCCTTTGTGTAGAGTGTTGTATTCTACAAATTCCATCAGTATTCTCTAGTGTTCTATCAATAAAAGTTTCCTTTGTGTAGAGTGTTGTATTCTACAAATTCCATCAATAATTTCCCAGGCCCTTTCAGAAATGGGATGGGGATAGTGCTCAATTTTGAGCAAGATACCCAACATAGATGTCTACTAAATTAACTAACTCTAACTCTATCAAGCTCTCACGCAAACACATGTATGGCTGCAATTTGTGTCTGGCTCAATCTGAGCCCAATGGAATTTACCTGCTCATTGCTGAAAGTTGGTTGGATTTTAGAAGTTTGCATGCACTTGTTGGTTGACCATAACCCTAATTTTTATTCAAATCCTCACCTGAACCATCACATTTCAATTAGAATCTTTTCAAAATAATCAAACCAAATCTGATCAAACCCAATGAATAAAGTCGGTGATATATTGATATGTGGCATGTTGACAATGCTTGTACTAATTTTTGTCCTGTAAGATTTCTGTAAGTCTTAGTGATATTAAACATCAGAATAAAGTATTTGTTGACCCTGTTAATAAATGATCGTAAATGAAGCATTCTCGCATGATTAGTGTTAGCCTCCTCAAATTTAGGATCTATTAGCACATTAACCTCAGCCAGTTGTGACAGTTGGCCTTCTGATTCATGAATGACCTCATTCGGTGGTATTTCTCATCATTCCATCCTTTTGATTTTTCCTTTATGCCTTTGTTGACCAAAGGTTCTATACACGATGATGAGAATCGAACGTTTTTGTTAGTACCTTGACCTCTCCGTACATGAAGGTGCATGATTTAGCTAAACATGCGCTTGCACGGGCGCGTTGGCGCGTGCAAGCCGTGAGACCCACCAAGAACAACCCAATGTTGACTAAAGTCTACTGCCAAAATGCTAGCACTAGACATTTCTTCACATTTGTCCATGTGGGACTAAATTAGGGGTGTCACATATTGACACAATATGAGAAATATATTTGTGAAACACCGACCCTCTCTCCTACTCCCTAGTATAGTATGGAATCTACCGTCATCGTACTTCTTAATCTGCAAGGAAATAAGTGAAAGGTTTTGTTCTAAAAAGAAAATTTGGGAAAGCAAACAAGGTTCAAGAAATCCCTTTATTGATTTGATGCAGGACGGTTAACATATAATTTCATGGATGATTTGGACAATCACGAGCTAAATACAAATCTATACATATTATTTAGTTCCTGACGCAGCGCAAAGTGATAACCTCAGAATCCACCAAGGGTGTTCTCTAAATCCACAAAGAACAATCTCCGAATCCACGAAGAAAATATTAAAAGAGTAATTTTATTGATGAAAATATATTCTCCTTTGGGGTTACATAACTCTTCTTAAATAGAAAAACAAATAAGATTCCTAGTAATATTAGAATTACAAAAAAATAGAAAGTATTAAATTCTATCCTAAAAAGACTCTTATAATAGAGGAAACAAATCATGAATCAAAATTGAATTTGTTTCCTAATCTAATTTGACTCTAAAATTGAATTTATTTCCTAATCTATATAGACTCTAACTTTATTACTAAAAATAAACAAAAAAACTAATTATTTTTGGATTTAAACTAAAACTGGGTATTACTGATGAGATTTTAAAAATCTGACAATCTAGTTGGCTCCGTCTCGTCGAGATAGACGATTTACATATATAATATGTCAGAATCTACCTTTTGGGTTAGAAGATATGATTGTTTCTTTGCGGAAGTCAATAATACGTATAAATTTGTATTTAGCTCGTGATTGTCCAAATCATCCATGAAATTATCTGTTAAGCATCCTGCATTAGTCTCCCCTTATTGAAAGAAGCTCGACCCCGAGCTTATATTTGTTAGAATAATAGCTTCATTATTAAATAATTTTCTTCTCTTGCTACGATCAGCATCGGCCTTGTATTTAGCGTTGATTTTCTCCATTTGTTCTTTTACCCTATCTGCTAGGACTTCTTTTGAATCAAATTCATATATTATTCTTTCCGACATCATGTGTATTTTATTGGTGGCATGTGGATGTGCAGTTAACTTTAAAAACTCCACAAAATATGTTCTATGTTGCTTCTCGTATTCTAGTGCTTGAAGTATCATCAAATTCTTTTTAAAATTATTCACCAACTTTGCTTCTAGGGTAGAAAATCCTGCGTCATACTCCATACACACTTCTTTCATCTTCTTTGTCTCTAACCCTTCATCAAGCAATTCACACATATCATCAATTGTCTCACTCTCTCATTTATCCTTCTCCTCCATCGGGACAACATCAATATGTATAATATCACTCTCAACCCCTTTGAGAATATCATGCATATCATCCATCTTCACTATCATATCACCATAATGAATCTCATGCATAACGATTATTTGCACCTTAGGAGGAATTTCGGTAGGGGCAGGTTCTTCTTAGTTATAACCAAGTCATAGACCTCTTTAGATTTCTTCAAGTTTTCTTCTAAAGCCTCGTTGTTTTCCACCAAATGTTTCTTCTCCTTAGTAGATTTTATCTTAGATGGCTCCTTTTCTGTAAGAGGCAGAAGTACAATTCGGCGTCCATCTTTCTTGAAGATATAAACATTGTCTCTACTTATGTGGGTAGCTCCAATATCGAATTGACATGGCCTACCTAAAAGCATATGACAAGTATCCATCTCGACCATATCACACAATACATCATCAAAATACCTGTGACCGATAGAAAAAAGGTACACGACACATCTCATCATTCTGCACATCATTTCCCTTGTGAATCCAGTCGATATTATAGAGAGACGGGTGTTTCTCTGTCTTCAAACCTAACTTATTCACCATACGCCGAGAGACAATATTCTTTCTACTGTGATTGTCAATAATAACATCACAAATCTTCTGAATCACAGTGCACCTCGTGCTGAAGATATTGTGCTCTGGAGGTGATTCTTCTTTCTTTATTACTTCTTTAGTGCTCTTCCTAACTCCAAGGTCTTGCTTAGGGTCATTGTCGTTGTTGAATTCATCATGTGGAGTCGAATCATGTCGCTGGCGACCATCAACGCGATATCGAACTCCTCTCGAGTTCAGATGCTCCACTGCTGACGCAAGTCGCTCTACGGAATTCTTCATCTGATTAACACCGGTCTTCAGCACGTCGAACTCAGTTCGAAAAATAGGGGCTTCATCACCTGTTATCGGATCGGAGAATTAAGGCTTTGATACCAATTGACGTAACATGGAAGTGATAACCTCAGAATCCATCAAGGGTGTTCTCTAAATCCATAAATAACGATCTCCGAATCCACGAAGAACTTCAAATCTACAAAGAAAATATTGAAAGAGTAATTTTATTGATGAAAAGATATTCTCCTTTGGGGTTACATGACTCTTCTTAAATAGAAAGACAAATAAAACTCCTATTAAGACTAGAATTAAAAAAAATAGAAAGTATTAAATTTTATCCTAAAAAGACTCATTATAATCACTACAACAAAATACAACATTGCCGACGAAACAAAAACGTCGGCAAAAGTTTAAAAAACGTCGGGAAAAATCTTTCCTGACGCAAAATGCAACGTCGCTAACGTGTCGCCAAAAGTGCGTCAAGGAAAGTATTTGGCGACGCAAATACACTGCGTCGCCAAAAGTACACTTTTGGCGACGCGTCATGCGTCGGGAAAAGTATATCTTTTAGCGACGCATAATATTTTGCGTCGGCAAAAGTGTACTTTTGGCGACGCATACAGCGTCGGCAAAAGCTATGCGTCGGCAAAAGTATAGCTTTTAGCGACGCAAAATTGTTCGTCGCTAAAAACTATACTTTTGGCGACGCAAGTTAGCGTCGGCAAAAGTGCAGCTTTTAGCGACGCAGAGTGAAGCGTCGCTAAAAGCTATACTTTTGGCGACGCAAGATAGATAAATTTAAACACAATTCTATTAAACAAATAACAAGTGTTTGACACATGTTTTATTAACAAATCCAACAATCATGACTAAGTAGACTTGAACAATAAAGACTACAGAGAACCCATGTCTTATCAACGTTGCAAGCATTTCCTTCGTCACGTCTCTGGCTTCTTCTTCCCACCTTCACCATCCATCTCCAACTTTTGTTGTGTAGCTGCAATGGAAAGAAATGTACTCAGTAAGGTAAATAAAAAGTTAAAATCAAACACAAAAAAGAGTATCATAACGTGAAAAATACCCTACAAAAAATTTAATATAAAGTTTGAAAAAATTACAGACATGAAGTTTTAGTACACATGTATGCATACATTATCAGAATCAGCGTCTAAGATGATATCCTTAATGTTCCCTCCATCATACAAGCCCTTCTCCTTAAGCACCTGCTCGAGCTCTTCAATCGTGATAAAACTGTATATATACATACATACACAACATATTCGAACAAATTCTAAACCATTAAAGCAGAAAAAGCCAATAATTACAGAAAAATTATCGTCACATACCCACTATTATCCTTGTCGAAATACTGAAACGCTGTATACAAATGTTCTTCTCTATCCATTCTATTCATGTGCATCGTCGCGGTGATGAACTCTTCGTAGTCTATCGTTCCATTTCCATCTGCGTCGGCCTGTAATAAATTCAAACACACAAAAGCTTTTAGCCTAGAGTTGTATATATATACCTGTGAATTTTTATGCATACTATTGCAATGCTTACAGCTTCCATTAGTTGTTTAACTTCCATTTCTGACAGTTTTGTTCCTTGCTTTGTGAGACCTTGTTTTAGTTCTTCGAGTGTTATAGTTCCACTGTTATCGGTGTCCATGCCCTTGAACATCTCTTTTAGTCCTCTTATTTCTTCTTCTGATAAACATCCAGCTATTACCTGCACAATTGCGAAATTAGTTTACAGATTTTTTTCCAGCTCGAAGTCAGATCAGCCCGTAATGTTTTACCTCGGAAACCTAATATTTTCAACTCATGAAGCCCTTGTAGTTATCGTTCTTAAGTCTATTCGAGTCCTCATGATGGTTTTCCACTCTAAACAGAGACAAAAAACACTATTCTGTTGAGGGTAAAATGTGAATGTTTCTCGCGGCAAACCGCCATAAGGACTCAGTAGACTGGAAACAACAACTCCAAGAGCTTAATGCGTTAAAAATATTAGGTTATGGGCTTCTTAGAAATGTTGGCTGAACGTTAGGGGCTGATCCTACTTCGAGGTCGATTATTGTAAATTTATATGCATTGAAGTTTGTTTGTAGTAAATGTGGCCTACTCTTAATGCAGCTTTCTTGAATTTGTTCATCGCCCTGAACTGCTTCAGTCTGCCAAGTACAACATTATCAAGAGGTGTATCTGGTGCTTCTCCATAATGTATGCAATCTTACCTATGTTCATTGAGGCCGTGTATAATCACCAGAATAGCCCTGCAAAACCAAAACGAAAAACAAAACAAATGTTGGTTGATACTTTTGTCCAGCATCTAAGAAAAAATCAGCAAAAAAAAAGTACCTAAGAAGTAAGAACTTACAGAAGTACTACAAAAACATTTTATTAGCTAAAGAAATGATTCAGACTTCCGCCTAGTGGATCATACAAAACCATATAAGAATGGATCCTCTCCAACAAATACATTATAAACTCCTGCCTCTGCCTCCTTTCGACCTGAAGTTTTCAAATCAAAAATGAGAAATTATAAGAGAAATCACCTAGTGCATTTGAGACATTTTGATCCAGATAAAGAGAATGGAGGGGAAGCACATTAGAGTGTAAGGAGGAGCAAACCACAGGAAGGAGAAAAAAGGGGAACATGGAGTAAGCTGCGACCAAGCACAAGGCGATCTCTTAGTGTAAACCAATGTCTCAACTAACCTATCAATTGATCATAGATAAAGAACATCATGATGATGTCTTTTCTTTACATGCATCAATTCTGCCTATTATCATAAAGGAAATTGTCTTCGTATCATTCATAAGCCAAAAGCATAGAATATTTTTCTGTCCGCAGGTAAATTGCAACTATAACCAACCGCACCAAGTGCGATACTACAAGCTTACACCACAAAATTGCATCCATGAAGCGCCAAAAGTACACTGATCAAGAAATCTAGTAATCAGATTGCATGTAAAAACAATTCAGTTAATCTTGACCTAGAAATACAGAACAAACTAAGCCCATCATCAAGTTCTACAATTAACCATTAAAAAAAATCCAGAGAAATCACGAATAAACTATCTCAAGGGCAGATAATACTCACAGTGTTGCCAAACGTTGCCAGCCAAATCCTCGGTCTTCTTCGCTGCTTCCCCCATCTTCCCCCACCTCCCGAGCGCATCTTTTACTGCCCCAACAGGATCCAATCACAGTTTCAACACTCAATCAAACGTAAACCCCTAAATTAAAAACCAATCACAAAAAATATCCTAACAGGCCGATTCAATCAAAGATCTGAAATTAAAGAGATCGCAAAGGGGCTCACTCTTCGAGGAGGATGAAGCGGCGGCGGGAGAGGGAGTGACGTATGGGTTGGACTCCGGCGGCATGGTGGTCGCCTGGTAATCACCAGCGGTTGCGGATCTCGCCGCCGTGTCCGTCGCCGGAGGGGGAGGAGCCACGTCAGCGGGGTCGAGCTTAGGGTAGGGAGCGTAGTCCGCAGAGTGAGAGTGCTGGTCGCCGCTGGGCTCGGTTTTGGCCTGGACAATTTTAACGGGTTGATCAGCGACAGCGGCGGAGGGTTCCATGATTTTGAAAGGGAAGAGGGGATGTCTTCTCTTCGAGCGGCGGGGGGCACCGGTTTCTTGGCGGAGGCGAGAGAGATCTCGGCGATTGAGAAGAGGAGGAGGATTGCTAGGGCAGCGAAATGAAAAAGTTTTGTCTTCTCTTCGAGCGGCGGCGGCCGCCGGTTTCTTGGCGGAGGCGAGAGAGATCTCGGCGATTGAGAAGAGGAGGAGGATTGCTAGGGCAGCGAAATGAAAAAGTTTTGCCTCAGCGGAAAATGAAAAAATAGGGGAGAGGAAATGAAAAGTAGGCGGGCAAATGAAAAAAAAAGAGGAGGGGGGTTGTGTTTGGCGACGCATATGAACAGTAAAGCGTCGGTAAAAGTATAGCTTTTGGCGACGCAATAGTTTTGCGTCGCTAAAAGCTATATTTTTGCCGACGCAATATAGCGTCGGCAAAAGTGTTTACTTTTAATGACGTAAAATTATTCGTCGCTAAAAGCTACATTTTTGCTGACGCTAACGTGCGTCGCCAAATGTATACTTTTTTGCGACGAATATTTTTACGTCGCTAAAAGCTATACTTTTGCCGACGAAAATAAAAAAACGTCGGGAAATCCATACACTTTTACCGACGCTATGTTAAAACGTCGCAAATAATATACACTTTTAGCGACGCTAATTATAAACGTGGGGAAAAATATATGTTTTGCCGACGCTAACTAAAATCGTCGGGAAAAACATAGTTTTTGGCGACGTATTTTACCATGTGTCGGGAATAAGCGTCGGGAAAAGTGCAATTTGTTGTAGTGAATAGAGGAAACAAATCATGAATCAAAATTGAATTCGTTTCCTAATCTAATTTGACTCTAAAATTAAATTTATTTACTAATCTTAATATATAGACTCTAACTTTATTACTAAAAATAAACAAAAAAACCTAATTATTTTTGGATTTTAGCCAAAACCAGGTATTACTGATAAGATTTTAAAATTTGACAATGTAGTTGGCTCCGTCTCGTCGAGATAGGCGATTTACATATATAATATGTCAGAATCTACCTTTTGGGTTGGAAGATATGATTATTTCTTTGCGAAAATCAATAATACGTATAAATTTGTATTTAGCTCGTGATTGTCCAAATCATCCATGAAATTATCTGTTAAGCGTCCTGCATCACTTCCGCAAAGAAACAATCATATCTTCCAACTCAAAAGGCAGATTCTGACATATTATATATTTAAATCGCCTATCTCGACGAGACGGAGCCAATTAGATTGTAAAATTTTTAAAATCTCATCAGTAATACCCGGTTTTGGTTGAAATCCAAAAATAATTAGCTTTTTTGTTTATTTTTAGTAATAAAATTAGAGTCTATTTAGATTAGGAAATAAATTTAATTTTAGACTCAAATTAAGTTAAGAAACAAATTCAATTTTGATTCATGATTTATTTTTTCTATTATAAGGAGTCTTTTTAGGATAGAATTTAATACTTTCTATTTTTTTTTATAATTCTAGTTTTACTAGTAGTCTTATTTGTTTTTCTATTTAAGAAGAGTCATATAACTCCATAGGAGAATATCTTTTCATCAATAAAATTACTCTTTTAATATTTTCTTCGTGGATTCGAAGTTCTTCGTAGATTCGGAGATCGTTCTTTGTGGATTCAGAGAACACCCTTAGTGGATTCCGAGGTTATCACTTCTGCGCTGCATCATGATTAGTCAGAAAAAAGGGCAAAGCGAGAAAGGAAAGAAAGAACGCGAATTGTTTTAATATTAAACAGAAATTTCATTTTCTCTAGGTAGAAATACATGGAGGAGCAGTGTTTTCTTATTCTTTCTTTATGAGGATAAGCTTCCCTCTCTCTTTAGCTTCCACTCTCTTTTCCAAACATATCTCAGTAAATTTATGTGTAGTTATGAAAGCATATGGTGAATACATCATATAATTTTGAATCTTTTGAATACAGTGAGTTTTCATTTCCATGCTACCGGTTCAAAGGCTCTCCAAGTTTTACATCTCTCCAAAATACGCTCTCCGTCTCTTTTAAGAAAAAAGAAAAGGAGATGAGAAGAAAAACAACAGAAAATTCAGAATTATCTGCACATTGATTCTGGACGTTGATAGGGCTGAGTAAACTCAGTCTCCAAAGAGCAACCGCAAAAACCTTCCTTCTCCTTCTCAACCATCTCAACTATACTCTCAAACATAGATACATCACATGGAATCCTAAGGACGCCTTCCTGCTCGAAGCCAAACTCTTCTTCCGCTTCTTGCAGGAGTACTGTGAAGGCTCTGTGTCTCAAATACTCCATTGGGATAACAAACCTCTTCATCTCCTCTCCAACGCACATGGCAAGAAAGCCCTTCGGCACGCTGCTGCAGAGCGCTGGGGAAGTTTTGGAAAGCGAGAGACTTCTTTTGAGGAACTTGATGCTCTTGCTATTGCTCTTTGGGGCAACAGCGAGCTTCTTCCACTTCTTCAGCATTTGCTGGAGTCTAACTATATCTGTGATTTTGTTGCTGGCCTTCTTGGATTCCATGGGTCCTCGTGAAGGCTTGGGGAATTTGTGTATGGCTTCAAAGGAAATTCTCTCTCTCTTATCCTTGATCAGGACTTGGTGGTGGTTCATGGTGCAAGTTGATTACAGGAATTTATAGAAGTTTGAATACGCAGTTGCATTAAATTAAATTTTATTTTATTCATTCTTTTGGCTTATTCAAAATTATTTTAAAATGCATTTATCTTATGCATCAAGAAAGTACCGTTGTATTTTGTTATAAATAAAACAAACTTCAGATTCCTGCTATAAATTTATGCAATTGGCCCTCTTGGTTTAGAATTATATGTTTGTGAATGACGTACACACCAACAGATATCATGAGCCTTTTCATCTGTCCTATTGGCTAGCTAGCTTCGAGACATGATCCATATGTTCCACTGTGAACTTTTGCATATTGATTCAGATCTAAATCAATATCTCTGCCATTTGACATATGAATCACTTTTATGAGATTGTTCTTTACTTTGGATACTCAGATTACTGCTACATCTGCCTGTGTAACTAACTAGATGAACCCAGAAAGTATCTTCTTTTCTTGAGTATATTTAGTTGAGAGTTTTCTGGTACTTTTAACTTGTTGAGTTTTATTCTTTTTTATATTAGCTTTGGGTACATGGGAGAACGTGGCAGGTGCAAGACACTAGAGATGCATGTGAGATCCTTTTCCATCAGAATTGAGAGCAACTAAGATATTCATTTGGCTCACCAAACTTAAATGTGTGCCATTAATATGATTCTTCAAATCAAATTTAAATTTGCTTTAATTGTCATTAGGGTGTTTAATGCAATTGTTAATTCATATCAAACAACATATTTAGTAGATGAGTGTGGCTTTTAAGGCCCAAGTAATTGATACGAAGAACGAATTACTGAGGTGTTAAAATACCATCCTCCTCCTGAAAATAGATTGTTACATCCGAACTTTCACATGATAATCTGAGTGTTGGATTTTGCAATAGCGCAATGAACTTATTGGCTTCAAGGAACTGTGTTTATCCCATAATGATTATTGAGAGAAGTAGAAGTTAGATATTGAAGTTGTGAATCAATATATCTAAGCTTTTAGTACTCCAATTTGATCGTAAAAGTGTCCCTAATTAAGGAAGATATGTTCTTAGTTATATAATGCACTTGATTATGTTACTGATACCCATTGTTTCCAAGGACATGATGACCCCAGTATTGCGTTCATTTTAAGCTTCATTTTCAATGCTAATTCGTAGAGGGATCGCTTCAATCTTCCGTTCCATTTAAATGGTATAGGCCCAATTCCACTATGACCATATATCATTAGCAGGAAGTATTCTTTTTATTAATGTTACAGTTCTTGTTACAATCTGAAACTCAACTTTGTCTGAAGTGAGGATGACAAAAAGTGCGGAGGACTTGCTGAAGTACAGAACTATATGGAAGGATACGAAACACGTTAAGAAAAATTCGGTTCCGTGAATGGGCTTGAGTTAGAGAATATATCAGACTAACATGGACTCAAATTGCTAGTTTATAGCTTATGAGTCTCCAAAGAAAAATGTCGTTGTAGTATTTTAGGCGCTTTCAATGATGTAATGTAAGACCTCAAGTTATCTCAATTATGCATCAAAAATAGAAAACTTTGCCTATTTTAGCTGGAAGTAAACCTAAATTATTTTTATCTAGGTACGTTGGACGACTCTCAGTCAGGCTTTGAGTTGTTGCTGTGCATCATAGGTTTTTACTCTTATGTATCATTCATGTTTAATGAAATCGTGACTTATTGATGAAACCAATAGCGCATTATATTGTTAGCTTAACAAAAGAAGAATAGTCAATTAGCATCCAAGTCGGGAAGACTATATTATTATTCGTGCATGTGAAGTTTAGAAGCTGATTCTGTGGATAGTAAGGGGAGTTTGCCCATGGTTTGTAAATCTAATGCCACGCTTCTTGGCATTTGTACAGAAGAGTACTCTCACATGATCCTTGCACTTGAAGCTTAGTAATTTAGGGAATAATATATTATTCTTATATAGTTTTAAACTGATGCAAAGTGTTAAACTATGCTGGGTCATCCTCGTGGAATGAAATTTCTATACTTGCATTTGGATCTAATGTCAAGCGTCTGTAATTAATTTCTTCACATTTCCACTTCGACACTGTCTTACTTTTCTATTCTCCTTACTGTATCTTTTTCATATCATTTACTGCAGTTGCACATGCCTCGTCTTACAACTTGGTGATTAATCATTTAAAGTTCACTTGCATCTATTGTGCATCAGTTGTCAGGTTGCAAAATATGGGGATTCACAGAGACTAATCTTGTCCCAGTAGCTTATGAGGAAGACCCATCAACGATTCAGTAGTCAATATTGCAAGGTAGTGAGCCTTTCTCAAACAAAAGACTAAACCTGAATTCATGTAGGAAGCTGCTTAAATCATTGATAACATTGCTCATCTTTTGCATTGTTGCACATGGAAAGAACTATGATAACCAATATGCCATCATCTACAATTACTTGCGCTTTACCTATATGCAAAATTCTATTTCAAGAAATCTACCTTTTTGTTTTCTCACTTCCAGAAAAAAAATGACTTATCATCTTTT